CCCCAAAACCCCAAAACCCCAAAACCCCAATCTCGAAATTAATATTTAGACTAATTTAGTGTGAAATTCGAACAGAACTTAGCGATGGTCCTCGAATGGCTTCTTATCTTGGAAAATCCCCAGTCTGACTAATCAGTTCCTCATAGCTCTAAAGGATAAGTAAAATATTACCGATCCATTTTGTCTTCCATATAATCATTTTGTTCCCAGAGATTGTTTTAAGATTTTGTCTTTTAATTGGCATCATCGCAGGTTTTTGGTCCTCTATTCTATTTTTGTATCTTTGTATAATTTTTCAACTCGGAAGACTCTAATCATGCGGATTATTTTCAATAATCTGTCAACTTTTGTATCAGCCCGGCCTACTCTACCACCCTGGTTACACTCGTTGCATCTGTTGGGAGTTGGAATGCAACTTCCAGAGCATCAAGCAGAAAATATAAATCGAATGTCAGACTTATAAATACAAATAAGTCAAGCCAGAATAGAAACTAGAATAAGTAGTCTTTCTGTGTGAATCATGAATATATTAGTTCAGATAAAAAAGCTAAGAATCAGAACAGCATTATAGTATCAATATAGGGATCCCCACTCTTCGGAATGAAGCCTATCCGGATATCGTCCAAGTAGAGGGCAACAAAAGTCAGGATGATGGAGAAAGTATTTGAATATTTGCTTTCAGAAAGTACCCTTACGAACTTCTTACAGTTCTTAGTTTTCTCTGCTTCAATTTCTTCCGAATCCTTCGATGACTCCTGTCTGACAATATTACTCTTTACCGTGTTCTGAAATAGTCAAAGGGACGTACCGAATTCCGGTTATTTTCAGTACTAAACACATTACTTTGACTTTGACATTTCCGACTCTTTGGAGGAGCTCTTGCTTAAGCTACTTACTGAAGATTCCTTCTTCAGGTTCAACAGAGGACTAATATTGTCCCTAAAAGATTAAGTGCATTATAGAGAGGGCTTACCTTTCAGTATCTTGGTTCCGGCTGTTCCTTTTAAGCTTAGTCCTTCTCCTGAACAATTCTTCTGAGAACCTCTGATTGTTGCGAATTTTGTTTTTAAGCAGGTACTGGTTGGATGTTGAGCTCATGAAGGATTCATTATGGTTATTACTATTTGAATTTGCATTTGTCTTGATCTGGCTCTTTCTTTGATGATAATTTGCTCTAAAATTTGTTATGATACTCAATACAACCCAAAGCTTAAAATAACTTCAAAATTCTAGGATAATAATTTCAGAATTAGCAAATAGACAATTACAGCCTTTCGGGTTTATGAGCATTTTCAGATATGGTTGAACAGGAGGTTATCAAGAAATCGATACTTTTTATTAATAATTGCCACCACTTGGTCTTCCTTCTAAATTTAAATATTTTTAACATAATTTCAGATATTTTGAAGAAATTTGGGGTTTTGGGGTTTTGGGGTTTTGGGGTTTTGGGG